GATTTTGAATACTTCTTATATAAAAGATGGGAAATATATATATATATATATATATATATATATATATATATATATATATATAGAGAGAGAGAGAGAGAGAGAAGCCTCTCATGTACGGACCCCCCATCAACGGACTTCGTATGCAATGGATAAAATCTGCAGGCAAAATTTAAAAAAAAATCTGTAGGAAAAAAAAACAAACTTCCAAATCGACACAGATGTATTTCAAAATTTGCGGGCTTAACGGAACGAGTCGTATTAGTTCTGAAAGTGATCGCTTGGCGGCGGTAGCGGGCCTTTGAATTGTAAACAAAGACGGGTGTACACTGTACAGTATATAAAGTATACATATACGATACACTAGCGCGTAGGTGAGAAAGTACTTGTGAGAAATATATTATATTTGTTATTATGATTAATATTTTCTTTTGCCCTCATCAAGGCATCGAAGCAGAAGATAAGTCTAAAAAGGAAGCGTACAAACCTAAGTATAGGTGGCAAATTAGAGTTTCTTCCATCTACGGACAATCGGCTTTAACGGATCCTTCTCCCCATTAGTCCGTTGATGAGAGGTTTGTATTTCTTATATTAAAAGGCGTGAGAAAAGCCATTGATCGGGATAGGGTAAATTTACCTTCGTTTATTCGGAATTTCTATTACCAAAGTAATTACTTTAAAAATAAAGCAATGCAAAACCATGTGAAGTCCTTCCATGTTTTTTTTTTGTTTTTTTTTAAGCAGAAAGTGTAATATTTGAAAATACTCGAAAAGCAATTCAATAAACGATTATAGAAACTTTGCAGTAATAATGCTACTAACATCGATTGTTCTAAGAATAGGGCTGCGGATCTGAATGCACCTGCTTTTTGCTGGAACTGAAAAGCCATAATTATTTTGTCGTTTTGGCTCCAATATTTTGGCAATGCTACTGAGCTCAGCTTTACATGTTTTAGCAAGAAAAAAATTCCTTTTTAAAATGCATATATATATTTTTTAATTTTCTGTTTTCTGCGGGCCATTAGCTTTTAAAACTTTTATATCAATCTAATATCCGGAAAAAAACGTCTATACAACTCCTTCCAGAAAAAGATTCAGATAAAAACAAAAATTGTATTTAAAATAAAAACAACAGGAATCGTAATATTCAATTTAGCCCCCTTCTCCAGTTTTAATATCTGATTTAGCTTCTCGCCATTTTTTTTATTGTTCCGTGCCTGTGTATTTGCAGGAACTGTTTTCGTGTAGAAGCTAATTTATTGGTACTTTGAAACTCGAACAAATTTCTATATCAAACAAATAAACAACGTCAAAATCATTTAAACCTAAATGACCATTTTTGATGGCCTATCTGAATGACATCCAAATTCGCAGGAATTATTAAGAAAAAAATGTTTGATGATCGATTACAGTAATTTCATTATTATATCTTTTCTTTATTGGCCTTATAGTGAATGCGGGAAATTCTAATATTTTGAAAAAACTAGGCCGTACATCTCTTTAAATACATGGTAAACAAAAAGAAGGATTGACAGTGAATATAGCAATTCTCGCAAAGTACAGACTGAATGCGAATTGAAAAAAAAAACAAAAAACAAAACAAAACAAAAAAAAACAAACAAAAAAGCAAACAAAAAAAAAGATTATATTACAAGATAAAAGAGCGTTTGTAGTTGACTTGATATCAACTCATAAACTTTTAACCATTTCAGCCCTGACTAGTGCTTTACCGGTGGTAGTGAAAAATGCCGTAATGTCCAACCACCGGTTGAACGGTGGGTAAACACTTGTAACTATTTTTATATCTACCGTGGAACATTGCATTAGCGAATTTTGACTCAGGAGCTCAGGCAGAAGGGTTACAATTGTTCAGGAACGAAAGTAGAACAGCCTAAGAATATTGTTAACGGAATATTCATTGTCATATTTAAAATTTAATTAAGAAAAATAATAATTCAACTACATTTATACGCTTGATAACTTTTGATCGCTTGGCGCATAATTGACGGCTATGACCGCATACAAATCTACATAAATCCCCAGTTCCTCCTCACTATTCTTACCGATTCAAACAACACTGATCACTGAACTGTTACTGCTCTGAATTGTATTTTCAAGTTTCTTTTTTTAACTCTTTGAGCTCTGCGTTCCTGAACAATTTTAACCCTTCTACTAGTTTAAGCCCTTAACTACTCGAACTAAACAGGTAGCGAAATCGACAAGATAGAGAAAATGTATAATCCTTTTCCTATAACTTTAGCATGAAAATGACTGGGCAGGGAAAGTGAGAAAACGTCTGGGGATAAAGGCGTGCTGAATATAGACATAATACAACTAAAACAGCTGTTTTAAGTCAACAAACTTATTTTATATAGGGGAGGGCGATTTCAGGTGACACGAAGCTAGAGGATTTATATTGTATTAATTCCTAGGTCTGCTGATCGGAAAGTTGGTTCACTGTGTCGTTCTAGGCAATCTTTCTAGCCACACTTTTTCTTTCACATGTCTACCATTCATCCATGCATTCATATTCTTTGCATGGACTGAATATTGCTGTCACATCTGGTCTGATTCTTCTACTATATATTTAGAGATTCTTGGTAAAATACAAAGAAGAATCTGCAATGTTATCGGCCCTGTCCTGTTATCTCGGCTTCGGTCATTTTCCCACTGTCGCAATCAGTCAGTTGTTTGCCATGCGTGATAGACGCTTATTAGACGATCGTGTATCTTTTGATAAATGACTGATGAGGCAGATTTCTTCCCGCAGTAAATTGCCATTATCTTTCTGCAGTAGACCCGGTTTGTCTTGCTATTTACACATAGTTGGGGGGAGAAGAAGAGGATTCATACATTTCCCAAGAGTATTATCATGTAAGTGAATGTAATGGATTCGACTGAAATTCGAACTCGGCTCTCCGATTCCTCAACTTAAGCGCAGTACTAGATTAGCAGTTAAAGTTAATTTTTTTTTCAGTTGAAATGGCAGATGCAACCATAAGTTCTTGCTTGTGGAACTCCTTTCTAGCTTCTTGCTTTCCAGTCAGCTTTGCTTCTTGAAAATGTAAATTCAATGTCAATCGTTATCTTCTGTCTTCTTAGTTTTTGTTCCTTTATTGTTCTCTCTCCTTAATAACGTCTTTCTGAACAAGAGCGATTGACCTTGGGAAATGTCCTCCATGTCTACCTCGAACGTCTTTTTATAGATTGTGAGTGGATGAAATATTAGTGTTTTTCGAACGCCCATTGGTTCTAAAACTGATTTCTATTATTTAAACCGAACCTGCAGAATCTATACACACAAAAAAAATATACACAATTTTCGCATCCACGTAGAAATGAATGCTTCAGGCTCCATACTAATACTGCTATTCACGCAATACGACGCAATACGACGCTAAAAAACCAGTTAATGTAAAGGATTACCGTTAAAACAGAAAATGCTGTGTGATATAAATGAAAAAAGAGCTGCTATGAAGTGAAGATTATGAGGATAAGGAAGCCAGATAACGATGACCTTTGCCTTTAAATTATTGTTTAATGTTGTAATTTTCAGGGAAATATGTTTCACATAATAGCCATTGGAAAAATAAAAGGTCCGAAGGAAACTTTCTTACATTTGGAATATGAAGATAATGAGAGTGATTCAACTCCGTGGATATAGTATGGTGTATACTTGCTTTCAAGGTTTAAACTGTTGAAACAAAAGAATGGTGCTAATCTGAACATTGGCCATGGAAATAGTGATAGAGTATCGAAGGGTATGCAACGTTGCATCCGTTGTAAAGGAGTTATAAATTTGTGAATATGTCTTCCTCTCCCCCAATTCCGCGAAAACGATTTTGAACTCGGTAAAGTCTAGAAAGTGAGGGTTGAACAGCTCCAGTTCAGATATTGCAGGAAAACTTCATGTTTCTGAACTATCCGATTCTGGTAACGATAAAACAAGTCAGAAAGATTATTTGCATTATTCGGACTATTATTCTCATCTTCATGGCCATATTCACAACGTTTCGGCCGTTGTACGCTCTGAATTAAACAAATTTAGAATTACCTGTATTTTTAAAGATGTCATTCGAGTTAAATAAAATGGGTGTAGTTTTTACTCGCATTATTTAGATTATCTTCATTTTCATCGACACATTCAAAACGTTTCGGCCGTTGTACGCCCCGGCCTTTTTCAGTTGCGAACATGACAAAGAAGATGGGGATAACAGTTAGAATAATGTAAATAATCATAATACCTCATCTCAGAGATATAGACAGATACTGAAGGCAGAAATAGTCAGATAGATCCTGTAGTGATAGATTATCTCCTCAGGAGTTTTAGCAATGGAATCTATATATAAATTCTACCTGAAGTTTGGAATGAACTTAAGACCTATCAGACGTTCAAAGCATGAAGACTAATATAGTCAGCCACCAGTCCTTATGACTGGAGAAAAGTCAGGGTCTAATAGATGATAAGCAAACTGTTCTAACTGGTCGTTTGGGGTATTTAAAGATATAAGCGAGTTTTTCTCCATTTAGCTGTAAGAGCTAGGTCAGAAGTGACATCATCTTGATTAAGATAATACAGCAAATTTGTGTAGAATTATATACAAAATATATAGCTCATTAGGACAGTTAATCTATTGGTAACTACATAAACAATTTCAGTTGGACAGTCAAGAAAAGGACATTAGCAGAGGGTAAAGTCTCCTAGAAACAAAAGTGACTCAATTGAAAACATGATGTGCGGGTATTATAACGGATATCAGTGCGGAAATTGGAATCGGTAAGCCGTGTTGCAATTTCAGCCTAGCTCTCGGACTTTACTTTCTCTCAAATCCTGCCAGGAAAGGTATGAATCTATCTTTTCTATCCACAGCTGTAGGTTACATATCAGAGTAGATTGGGCCCTTTACAAATGGATGGCAACTATACTATGAGAAGGCGGGAAAGAAGTTGCGCATTAGAAAAAAATGTTTAAGAACATAAAAGTACCTTTGACTCTAAAACAGGACACGGCTTGAGGTAATGTGGACAGAACCGAATTTTCTCTCCTTGTTTCCTATTTCTTCCACTCTCTCTCTTACCCCCTCTTTACGATTCTCTATTTCTCCTTTTTTCTCTCTCAATCTTCTCTCACTCTTCCCATCCCTGTCTTCTTGCTCTTTCGATTTCACTGATTCTTTTCTTTGTTTCCAATAAGTAGATCCTCTCGCCCGAAGGAAAACTGAATTCTAAACCGTTGATAGGGTAACGCGAAATTACCTCATCTTTCCGAATAATGCATGGCATTTCACAAATAATAAAGGGAAATAAATTTGTGGAGAGCTGTGATCGCCTATGGATGGCATAAAAATGATGAATATTGAAATCCAAATCCAGTCCGGAACAGTCAAGAGGATCTACTTATCGCAAGGAAACAAACAAAAAAATCAGAGAAATCGAGAGGAAGGGAAAACGGGGATGGTGTGTGAGAAATAGAGGGAGAGAGAAGGTGAGAGATGAGAGGGAAAGAGAGATAGAGAACCATAGAGAGTGGGTGAAGAAGGAGAAAAATCCGCTCCTCCCACATAAGACCAAGTCATGTCCTGTTTTATATTCAAGAGCTCTTCTATATTCTTGTACTATTTTTCTCTACGACGCATCTATTTCATGTTTTCTTGTTCAACAACGATCACTACTCAACGAATTTCATGCCATGTATTTACAAAAGGAAGCTTAAACCATAGATGCTAAACAAGGGTAAACAAAGAAAAAAATAGAGAAAAAAAGGATAAAGGAAGAAAAATAAAGAACTCTAAAAGGCGGAGAAAAATAGAGGAAGGTTGGGAACATAGCGTAAGGTGAAGGAGAGAGAGAGAGAAAGGTGTGGGGAAATAGAGGAAGGCGAAGGAAAGTAGGAAGAGGAATGAAAAAAGAAAGCATCGTGAAGAAGAAGAATGAAATGCAAAAGAAATGGTAAGAAATGGAGAAAAAAGAGAAGGAAGAGGTAAAAGAATTGGAAAAATTAAGTGGAAATAAAAAGAAGGAGGAGACGAAAGAAATAAAACATGAAAGAAAATAGTGACATTTTCGCTTGGCTTGGGATGAAATGATTAAATGACATAAATGACTGAGGATTTACTTTCCCAGATTATCAACCCTTTCTGGATTATCCAAAGCCGAAACATTTGTTTTTCTCTCTGTGAATATATTTTAAGCATTTCATCTCAAGTATGGCGGGAGTGCCATTAGCAAGCAAAGGGTTACAGAAAGTGAAAGTAAGAGCAAGAGGGGGGTGTTTGAAGAAAGGATAAAGAGAAGGACGGGGATCAAGATCAAGGAATCGAAAGATGCCGATAGACATTACATTTAAATTTTTAAAGATTATAGTTATCAGGGAAGCAAATAAGAAGAAAGGTGTTCCACTGTCTGGAAGTGCGAGATAAGAAGCTGTTGGAGTAGAAGAGGCAGTTACATTTAAACGTTTCGACAATGAAATGGTGGGACTGAGAAGCCAACCTAGTAACACGCTTAAATTCATGCACTTGGGGTACCAGTGAAAATAACTTGTCAGTACAGTTGCTATGTAAATAATTGTAGAAAAGACAGAGGGGAAACCACATTACTGTGCGAAAGTGACTGAAGTCGAGATGCCAGGTCAGGATCTATCACATGGCATGTCCGTCTTTAGATTTTGTCGAGAAAAATTGTATTAGGAATATTTTTTTTAGAATAACAACGATTCTTCCCGATAAGACGTCTTCTATTTAACCCATATGTGGTAGGGATGAGTGGGATTCATACCTTCTCTAAGGATATTTGCACGTAAGTGACTGTAAAAACCTCATTTGAAATTCGAACTTGGAGATGACAGAGGAAAAGACAAGAAAGGAAAAAGGAAGTAGAAAAAAGAAGTAGAAAATAAGGAGGAGAAGATAGGATGAATGAAAAAGAAAAAAAAGAACAGAAGAAAGAGGAAAAAAAGAAGGGGAATAAATATTGTAAGAAAAGAGAACATGGGAGATGAAAGAAAGGAAAAAGAGAAAAACGTACTAAAATGAGAAAGGAGCCGAATGAAGTATTTATTGTTTTCCTATTAAAATTAAATTAATGATTAGTTTACTACTTTTTTTGTCTCATAAAAAAACTGTTTATGTTAAGATTTGTTTGAAAAATTCTAAATTAAAATAGAGAAGGAAAACGAAGATTCAATAATTTCAATAACATTGTTTGTAATTTAAATTTACAAATCCGAGAAAAAAATGAAACCAGAAACCACGCACCACTGCCGGTGTGTTACACACTCTCTTGTTCTTCGTTTCTACCTGTTCATTAATAATACCTTAATTTACTATTCTCTACTAGACGTTTAAATATCAGATCATCGATTGCTTAAAAAGAATCAAATTATTTCAATTCAAGAAGCAGACATTATCAACACGTTTAAAAAGAAATAGTGTTACTGTTACTGTTTTATTATGACATAGGGTCATTGCTTTGACAATCGCATTCTAAAAATGGGGTGCTTCTCTTTATGACATATCGAGTGGAGGTAAAAAAAGATACAAGCAATCGTGGGCTTGATATTAATATCAATGATAAAGCGTTAATTTTGGTAGGTAAAAATAAATACATTCATAAGTGACCCTAGATTTATCGTTAAACAGTCAAATATAAATAAATTTATTTTTACCTTTCTTTCATTTATTTTTTATTTTCGTTTGGTAACATAGTTACCCTCTTATTTTAAGAAATAAAAAAACATTATTTACTTTGTTTGGACTGTTTTCCTCCTCTTTATTGTCATAGTCATGACTTATCGGCTTTTTTTCTGGTGAATTTAAAACTGACAAAATTTCGTCCTCGCGCCATGCTTTAGGACTTATAAACCTAATGACATTTGTTACCAAAGCTCATATTGCAATATTGTTGTTATTATTGCTTTTCTCTAGCAATCCTTTACTATTGGTTCCCATATTGTATTCATTTCTATGCCTGGCCGGCTTAGGATATTTTTGTGGCCCAGCGTATGTATTGATTCCCTAAGTTTTCATATTTTCTAGTGATGTTCTCTATCTACTATTTCAACATCATCCCATAGGGGGGCGGTAATCTCCCTTTTCTTTACGATGTTCTGGTAGTCTCACGTTAAAGGGGTGGCCTGTTTCTCTTTTATATTTCTTACCACAGTTGCACAGAATGGCGTACACAAAGTCCTTAGTCATGTTCTCCTCTAAGATGGGTTCTTCGAAGTTCGAACCACTTCTGAAGGTCGATCTGATGTTATATGGACCACAGAGATTTTGCATTTTCTCCGATAATCCCATCACATAGAGTAGTTAGGACGAAGCTGTTTTCTGAGTGTAAGTTATCCTCTTCCCGTGGAGCAATGGATAGCGGCTCGGGCGTAATGAATCGGAGAGCCGAGTTCGAATTCCAGTCGAATCCATTACGTTCACTTATGGAAAAGTATGGATACTTTTCTTTTTCCCCCAGCTATGGGTAAATAGCAGGACAGACCGGTTTCTCTAGCCTTGGATGGCAACTGGAAAAGTGACTGTAGACGAGATGCCAAACCAAGACCAACGACATTGCATATCCGTATCTGGATTTTGTCGAAGTTCTTGAGACAGACAGGGGGGGCAGACGATAAAAAGAAACAGAATTGGGAATCGCTTATAAAGGAAGGAAGAAAAGAGAGGAAGGAAATAAAAAAAGAAAGGAAAGGGGATAATTGGATAAAACATCGGAAGTGTAAAAGGAAGAAAGAAATCTTACTTATTATAAAACCCAGGTTGTGTGTGTGTGTGTCTGTATGTTTATATATTGGATCGGATTTCCTACATTTTTCAACCGATTTCAACAAAACTTCACAGGACTGCATAAAATTACCTTGCAGTGGTTTTGACAGTGCGAAAAATTTGAAAAACAATTGTTTTTGCACGAAATCAATTTGAAAACACGATTAAGAGTCATCGCTGTCGAGAATGAAAGGGGGACAACTCATATCGAGTTATAAAACCCAGGTTGTTTGTGTGTGTGTGTTCATTTATATATGGGATTGGATTTCCTACATTTTTCAACCGATTTCAACAAAACTTTTTTTTTGGTAGGTAGTGTTTCTTATTGTCTTGCACACTTTTTTTTTATTTTTACATTCAGAATGCTTTAAAAATTCCATTTATAAGACAATTGTTTATAATAAAATTCTATTCAATCGGTAGACTCATAATTATTGAAAACAATGTTTTTGTTTGGGTTTGACCAATTCGTAAAAAAAACAAAAGAAAAAACAAAACAAAACAAAAAAAACTAATTAAGACATGCGTGTCTATCAACCTTAAACAATAATCTTTGTCAATTTTATTTTTCAGTCTTTATGATGGTCGATACTTGATCTATCTCTTACTGTTACATCCCCGGGCAACGCCGGGCTCTACTGCTAGTATAGAATATGAATGAAAGTAAGTGAAACCCTTTATACGTCTTCAAACCATTAAAAAAACACCAGAAAATCATGTCATTCTAACGATGTAACGATGAGAAGCAATTAAGATTTTCACATATTGGTTTAATAAATCTGGCCCAGTACATGACAGGTTACATGAAACAACTGAAACTCTTGACTCTTTGTATCAGATTATCTCACAGCGGAGCCCACAATAGAGTCAGGGAGATTTGGTGTGGTTTGCTGTGTTTTACGGCATATCAACCACAAAGGGTTATTTAATGCTGGTAATATTTAAAAAAAGAATCTATTGCTGATAATATTTTTTTCTTAAAAATATACTGCTGCTAATATTTTGTTTTAAAAAATGTATTGCTTGTAAGATTTGTTTTAAATTCATTACTGGTAATATTGTATTACTAGTAATAATTTTTCTTAAAAAAATAATTTCTAGTAATAATTTTTACAAAAATGTATAGCTGGTATAAAAACCTATTTTTACAACTTCATATTACAACTATAACTGAGAACCTAACAGGTACTACTGCCCCGGATCAGGGTGGACCTGGGCACACCAGCGATTAAGAGATTGTTCCACGCTTCTCAAAGCCACGTGATCAGAGGCCTTGCTGCTGGATGTAGTTCATCGTCTTGCCCAGGATTTGGATGTAGTTTATCGTCATACCCAGGACGGCAGTCCGGGGGTCATTTGTAGCTTTTGAATTCCCTGAATGAAATTCACCTGAATTATTGAAATGTATTATTGTTATTT